AGACTGTCGGGGAAGAAAGGCAGCAACTGAATGATGCGGATGGCAGCAGGAACGCCGCCAGCACAGACCTTGCGGCGGCTGGCAGTGGTAGACGGTCTTCTGGTCATCAGCTCCCACTTTTTAGGATTGGTAGTTAGAGGTTTCACCCGTATGTGTGTACCCTCCCGCTGAACCATTGCATCAGCGTACAACATAGATCAAGGTACGAAGTATATAACGAAGTATATATAGTGCAATTGTTAATGTCTATCATATATGTTATAGTCCCAAACTGAGCGAACAATTTGAAAAGAATTCTTGGGAATTTTCCCTCATATATGTCTATCATGAGTTTGCTCATGTAGTTTCATTGGTGCAATATTTGACAACATTTTTATGATGATAAACAAGTATGTTAGTCAAGCAACCACTGTAAGCTAACTATAAAATATCAGTACTATTCCACAAGGGATAAGCATCAAATTAAACATGTGTGCACGCCTTATTTGGTAGGAAAGCAGCATATTAAATGTATATCCTACAAAATCTGAAAATTTGCAGCCTCTGAAATTGGCCAAACATTAGTTGCACCAAAGCACATAGGAAGTAGGGGCGCAGGTCCCAGCGAGAAAAAGCCCGCATGTGGTTGAATAGGAGGAAGAGGTTAGTGGAGTTGAAGTCAGAGACGCGGCAATTACGATGTAGTGGAGTTGGTTGGCAAGGTGGAATCGACCGGGGCAAAGCGCTAGAGCCGGGGAGCCAGGGAGAGACCAAGGTAGGGTGGGCAAGGTAGGTGAAATTGGTGGGGGTCAACGGAGGGGTGTCCGGTATTGGAGGACGGCGAGGTTGCCGACTTCTTGGAGATGGCTCCCGTGGCTAGTGGAGAGAGGCATTGGCATAGAGAGTATGATGGTGAGGTCGGGTGTGAGGCCATGATGCTACGCAACCCATCCCAAGAAATCCATGACAGCTGCTGCTAGCTCCCATAGCCAACCAGGGTAGGTGTGGTGGAGTGGGCCAGGTTGGGGCATGCGGTGTTCAGCTGTCATGGGGAGAGGATGGGCGTGGTTCAACACCCACGGGAGAGCCGATGCTTCTGGTGCATAGGGGTTGGTGGATCTGAAACGGGATGATGACCAAGAGAAGAAGATGCGGTTGTGCCAGTTCGATGCGAGAGGATAAAGCGATTGGGTGAGACATGCGCAGTTTCCGGAGTCTATGAGAAACATCTAGTTTAGTCTAAACAACGTTAAAAAAATTAGCACGCTATAACAAAATAGTGGCACTCCACTGTTGGCTTGTCGTAAAAGGCAGTAGCACAATCGTGCATGGCGCAACGGTTAGCTTACTTTAGAAGAGTAATTTATTGGTGCCAGGACAGAGTAAACAGGCAACATGGAGTAGATAAACGTAGCGTCTCTGTGGGCTTGTGATTTAGGCGGCAGCTGGCATCCTCTTTCTGTTGTAGCGGAGCATGACTTTCCCCTTGGGCCCTGGCATGACCACGTTCCAATCCGTCTCGGGGAACGGCGACACCATCTCCATCTCAAAGTTCCTCAGCAGGTGGCTCCATATCACTTTGATTTGCATGTACGCGAACGCCTCGCCAACGCAGGCATGCCGCCCACCGCCGAACGCCGTGTACGAGAACGCTCCACCGGCAATGTCCTCTCTTCTACCGGGGCCGAACCGGTCCGGCTCGTATGTCTCCGGGTCCCTGTACTCCTGCTCCGGTGGTTCCCCCTAACCTAATTTCGGAGGGGTATTTTTGTCCCCGCGAGTTTGTTTTTTCCTGGCCCGCCGTAGCCCAGATCCAAGCCCTGTATAGTCCAGACCGTATACGTACAGTACCTGGTCCGGAAAAAAAACATCACACGACCCCACGACCACGTAGGACCTGCCGGATCCAATCATTCACGCACCTCCATCAATCTCGCGAGCATTCACGCAGCTCCATAATTCACGCGGTAGATCTCCAGCGTCGCGCGGCTATCTCGTCGCCGGCGATCTCGTCGGACAGCGGGCGTGGCAACATCGTGAATCTCCAGCGCTCACAGGTACCGCATCCTGCATCCCCCCGCACCCCTCTAGTCTCGCTCGCGGCAACATCGAACGAACTGCCGCCGTCAGATATAGTGGTTAGCCTAGCGGGGAGGGTAACCTACCTACCCGGTGTCGCATGCAATCGTGGATCTTGTTCCGGTAGTGCTGCTGCTCGTGATCTGGGTTTCTTCAGTGTAGGATTCACGTAGCGTCGGTTGCCGTCGGCTGTGTCTGCCAGGACTATCATTATTTGATGTGGCGGCTAACCTAGGTATCCGGCGGCAGAGGTAATCACAGATCTAGCTAGGTTTTGTAGTGCTGCTCCTCGCGATAGAAAGTGATCACGACGGGTGTCGTGGCCATCTTCCTGGCTTGGTTTGGCAGATCTGAACGGCCTCGGTTGGGGTTGTTTACAGAACATCCGTGATCGTTAGCTATGTGTTGATATTTCATCATTGATAATGTTTTCATCATTTGTTGTAGGAAATGGCGGACAAGGAGTTAACTAATATGATGGTAGACATGGAGTTTGGAGAACTGATGAAAGACTGGATAGAAGATTGGTCAGATGATGACAATTCAGATCTTGGAAATCAGGCAGAGAATGGGAACGAATGGGAAGATTTTAATGTGAGTGGCATTACCATGTTGTAATTTTTTGGTGCCATCGTACAACATTATATTTTTGTGTTGAAAATTTATAGATGGATGAGCATGGTGATGGTCAGGAAAACAATTCGGAGCTCTCAAATGAAGATTACATTAGTCAGGTACGTAAGTGAAAAAATTTATTGGCATGCAAATTGAATTCATTCTGGAATATTATATGATAAGTAATTATGTATTTGTGTTGTATTTTTCAGTTCATTTCCGAATGTCATAATGCATACGACTATTACGGTGAATCCGACGCGGAGACAGGCCTTAACGACGAATCATCAGATGCACCTGATTCTGGGGATTCGCAGTCGTTGGTCACCATGAGTGAGGTATTTGTGTAATCAATGTTCTATGAAAGTAATGTTAAACCATACAAAACAATTTTCATGGCTATGTTTTGATTGTGTAGGTGACAGATGATGGTGGGGTAATGAATGTCCAAGATACTGCCAGTGCAGATGATAAGAGGGATATGTTCATGCAGATAATGGACATGACTTTTATGACTCAGGATGCTGCGTATGATTTCTACAACAGCTATGCTAAAGCTAATGGTTTCAGCATTAGGAAGAATAAGGTCAGGTACACCAAAACCGAGGCACATCTTATGCGTTATAGGAGGTTTGTTTGTTCCAGACAAGGGAAAGGTGACAGCAAGTTGCTAACCGAGGAAGGGCACAGCCGTCGGCACAGAGCCGAGACACACTGCTTTTGCGAAGCACACCTGACTGTCAAGCTTGACCAAAAGCGTGGGGTTTGGTATGTTGCAAGTTTTGAGGACAAGCATAGCCATATGTTGGCAGGACCGGACGAGGTACCTTTTCTTTGGTCCCATAGAAAAATCAAAGAGTTTCAGAAGCATGAGATAATGTCCATGGGAGCTGCAGGGATTAGAATTCACGACATGATGGATCCCCTCATCAGCAAACATGTATGGTATGGCGGTGTTGGTTTTACCAGGCGTGAAATATACAACCTTTGTGCCAGGGAGAAGAGGAAGCTGCTTTCAAAAGGTGATGCTGCCACAGCCATAGGCATCATGGCCAGTAGGAAACAGAGGGATTCTAGCTTCTTTTTCGAGTACATGCTAGATAAGGAAGGACACTTGAATAGGATGTTCTGGTGTGACTCCCAGTCTCGTCATGACTATGAGGACTTTGGCGACGTGCTTGTATTTGACAACACGTACAAGATGAACCGCTATGGTATGCCATTCATACCTTTTGTTGGTCTTAACAATCACCGGAAGACCACTGTTTTTGGTTGTGCCATAGTTTCGGACGAGACCGAACAGACATACGTGTGGCTGCTGCAGACTTTTTTGAGGTCCATGTGTCAAAAGATGCCGAAGAGTGTAATCACAGACGCCGACGCTGCGATGATCAAGGCAATTCGCGAAGTCTTGCCAGACGTGTGGCACCGTATATGTACGTGGCATATAGAAAAAAATATGAAGATTCACCTCAGTCCCAAGTCCTTGAAGGAGTTCCGAACTCTTCTGTACTACAGCACGTCCACGGCCACGTTTGAGGAGAGATGGCACGCGTTTACCAAAAGATGGCAGTCGGAAAAAATAGTAACATGGTTGAGACGGATGTATAAGAAGAGGAGACTGTGGGCCGCGGCTTATCTGACAGAGGGGTTTTGGCTTGGCATGAAAAGCAACTAGCGGAGTGAAAGCCTAAACTCATGCCTTCACCTCCACCTAGACGGTGAAATGACGCTGGTGGATATGATTTTGCATTATGAGAACGCCGTTGTACGTATCCGTGAAAACGAGGCGCGAGATGACTGCACAGCCTCACAGAGTTTACCGATGCCAGTTACTACATCAAGGGAACTTGAGATGGCTGCTTCTCATGTCTTCACTCCAGCAAACTTCTATATGTTGCAAGAAGATCTTAGAAAAATTGATGGCATGGAGATTGTAGAAATTAAGCTGGGAGATGGATCACAGCAGTACATCGTGGCCTGGAAGAATAACCGGAATAGTCGTTTTTGGGTGTAGTATACAACAGTAAATTCCGCAGAACCTATACGGTGCAGCTGCAGAAGAATGTTTCGAAAGGGTCTACCTTGCAAACACATATTCCACGTACTGAAGTACTTGAACATATCTGAAATACCAAAGTGTTTAGTTCTTCTTCGGTTCACGAAACAAGCAAGGTTGGGACTGCCCGCGAGGCGCACAAGCGATCTGTTGGGATATGGTTGGACTGGGGCAGAGGAAAGAATGAAATATAGCCAGGTCAGTGTGTTAGCGTCAGAAGCTATGCATGCGGCATGCAAACACCCAGCTTTGTGGGATCAGTTATAGGATAGTTTGAAGGCTGTGATAGCTAAGAGTCATGAGTATGATCTGCTACACGGAAATTTGAGCAAGAATATAAATGACTTCAGTAAGTGTGTAGTTGAATATGTAGACGATGGTGAAGGCAACATGGTCGCAGTTAAAGATCCTATGAAAGTGTCAAGCAAAGGTGCAACGAAGGTAGATGAGAACCGCCCTGTCTCGAAAAATGGTAGACCACTCTCTTTTGATGAGTTGAAAACCCGGTGCGGCGCTTGCAAATTGCTAGGACACACTAAACGTAGCAAGAAATGCAAACTAAATCAGAAGTAAGTGTTTGTATGCATTCTGGATTATTGAAAAATTTATCGTTCATAAACTTATATTGTCTTCTATGATGTGCAGAACAGTGGAGAAGGAAGAAGTGTAGAACACTTGCTTCAATTTTTTACTGATGAATCGAGTGAACAGGGCAGTATATCCTTTTCACATTATGTCATCAATTTTAGTTCGACGTTTAACATCGTGTTTGGATCCTATATATATCTTCTATACCTAAATACCTAGCCCCCAGTACTAGATTTGTGTACACATGCAGTGGCGGAGCTAGCCAGAATCAACTGGGGGGGGGGGGCAAAAGGTAAAATATGAGTGTTTGGGGGGGCCAAAAGCTAAAAAATCTCTCATCTAAGCCCTCACAATTTTTTTCTTCACAAGTTGCATCAATGTTGGGGGGGCCACAGCCACCCCAGGAGCCTACATAGCTCCGCCACTGTACTCATGCCACTCCCCACCACACATTCACCCACCTAAATAAACAACAAAATCAGACCTAAATAAATTAGTTATAAATTAGAAAGAATATTGTACATTTCCCCTCCCCACGTCCTAACTGCCATTAAATCACCTAACTTACCACTCCCCATCACACATTCACCCACCTACCTCGCGCGCCGGTTCGAACTCCCCTTATCCCCACCTACCTACAGTAGATCGAGAAAACCACCGCCGGCGACCGCTACAGCTGCCTCCATGGAGAAAAGCCTCGGCTGGCAGAGAGCGATGATGAAGCTCGCCGGCGATGACGAGGGGTGGCGCGCCCAGTTGGCGGAGGTGTGCGGCTGGTTCCCCAGCACGGAGATGTTGGTCAACCACGCGCGTGGCCTCGTCAAAGTCCTGACCGACGCCGAGAAGAAGCGCGCCTTCCCCTACGGCTGCGGCGTCCCGCCGGCTCTCCTCCTCGTCTGGGCAATGCGAGAGGCCACGCTGAGCGACTCCCCTGTTCAGCGCGCAAGGTGGTGGATGTACCGCTCGACCATCATGACACTGCGGCCAGATCCAGCACACGTCGCGTCGAGGGCGGAGCACGTCGACGTCGAGCTCGCTCTCCCTGCGCCCGTCAGCCCGGACTACCAGGTCCGCCACATGCCGAAGCCAGTCCTGCCGTTGGGCTCTGACGTCGTGGAGGACGATGTGGACGAGGTACTGCTCATCCCTGATGACCCTGAGGAGGGCGAGGAGGATGCCGTGCAGATGGTAGCGCCTGTCGCCGTCGAGGGTGGCAAAACAATGCCCATCGACGTCGTGCTCCTTCCCCTGCACCCTAACATAGTGAAGGTGGAAGAAGAGGAGGTGGCTCAGGATCAGGTGGCTCGGGATTTGTGGCTAAAGAACTGAATATCTACTGCCTAGCCTAAGTGTGAAGTTCAGTTAAATTTTCAGAATATTGAATATGTACTGTTGTTTTGCTTCAGTGTTGAATCAAAGGTGTAGGTGTTGCTAGATGTTGCTCCTATGTTGCAACAAGACAATGAAGTGGGCTGCTGCACAAATCAGTAGTGTTGCTATGTGATGTGCCCATGTGCATCACTTACCAAATATAGAACATGAAAAATGTGCAGTGTCTGCCAAATGTAGAACATGCCAAAAGTGCATTGTCTACTAATCATGATGGCACCATGTTATTTCTGCTGCAATGTCTATTACACTTTGCCCATAAATTGAATAGCAAATAATTCATCAGGATTTCATCATGTCAACTACAATGATGTCAACAATCTACTTGGTAACTATGACAACAATTATAGTGGCAAGCAGGCCAAGATACAGAAGACCTCCAAATCCTAAAATCCTATCCCTATAGAGCAATATTTCCTTGTGCATCTTAACCATTGCCCTCTTTTCTTTCTCATTCCTTTTAATTTCAGTTTCACATTCTGTAATCTTAGTCTCCAGTTTCTTGTTCTTCATGGCTAGATACTTAATGACTGAATTTGCTTTGCTATCCCACTCCCCATCAACCCATTCAACATACTCAGAAGTGACATCATCCTAAATAAATCATGAGTAATTCGAGTCAATTAATAATGCGATAGAGCGAACGAGCGGACATGACTAATTTTCATCTGTGTAATACGTTCTGCCTCGATATATTTACATAGCTAACATGATTACTTTTCATAATCATGTGATGAGGGGAAATTACCAGGAGATTATTGACATGCAGATAGCTAAGGCAGAAGGCAAAAGTTTGATAGAGTTTTTAAAAAAGTAAAGAATGTGAAAATTTTAATATGAAACTTCCGAGAGCAGTTGAAGAGAAAAATAGAATGCGAATACTATGAATGTGATAAATACAATTATAAAAAAATTGAAGAACGAGAACAATATTAAGCAAGAACAATTGATAGTTGAAGCCAAAACTTTCTTGGTACGACGAAATTGTCTTCTCCGAGCGAATTGTATGACCGAATTGTCAGGTACGAGCCTATTGTTCGACAGACACATACACATGTATGTGTCACAATATTCGAGATGCCGTGATTATTACATAAAAATGATAGAAATAGTAAGATAATCATGCCGTCGAAACCATCGACCGGACTAAATCCAAAGCACTAAAACTTGACCCTTGCATGCCGCAAGAACTCTTCATGCGCGCCTTTTCCTTGCGATTTCGCGAATTTTGTTCTTCACACACTCCATCGTGTTCGAAGGTGACATAATCAACTCGGCGACGAAACGTCTTCTCCTTGCGTCAATGCTGGCCTGCAAAAAATGACATACAGGTTACATGAACCGAATTTTGTACACGACCATAGTAGCTACTCTACAAATGTAAATAACAACATACCTGTGAAAAATCGCGGATCATTCGGTCCCCGTCCCAATGCTGTAGACATTCTGTGACAAAAAGGCCACAAGAGTTCCTGGTATATATGCAAACATTAGCGGCGTGCAATACGAACATGTGTATTGTTGTTTGAATGTGCATGATGTCGTACTAACTCACCCATCCTCTTGCTGCGGCATGTCATACTCGTTGATAGGCCACTTACTTACGTCCGGATATTTCCCTGGTGTAATAATATTTGCTTGGCGAAAATCGTTTGCTATAGCCATTCGCTATAAACAGGATAGTGTTAAAGAAGAATCATAAACAACATGGAAGAGCAATGGTACAAATGTTGGTTATATTACCAGTGCTTTGACAGTCTTTTTTGTCAGCTCCATAGGACAGAGTGAATCGAGAACTTGGAATTCTTTCTTGATCATGTGCATGACCACGGTCATCCAGTGGGCATTTTCGATATTCAACGCAATATACGTCTACAGTGCCAAAAACCACTATGGATCAAATGAAATACTAGATGAAATGTCCTGAAGTGAAGAATTACAAATATAACATACCTTATCACGCACAGTATACTCTTGCGTGACTCTATTAACTGCTCCAGCTTTGGACAGAGCACTGTCCATATTGCAGCTCGACGGCAACGGATCGTCTCTCGCGATAGCACGATCTACAAGGAATTTGGACCTCCACGCTGGACAGAGGTAACGATCATGACCAACGCTCAGCTCCAAATGTCCCATATAAGCATCAATAATCTTCATAGAATATCAGGGCATTACATGTTGAAATTTGAGACATAGATTATTGACAATTTAAATAACAGAACATGCAAGTAGTACTTACATCGTCCGACAGCCATCTATGACTTAGTACCGGTCGAATCCTTTCGGATGTCAGAGATATGCCACGAGCTTCACTGTAGTAAACTTTCTTCCCGTTATTCTTGTCGGTGCTAGAAGCTAACTCGACAAATGAAACAGCTGCATCAATTATTTCCGGCGTCAACTCATCTGCCACACCCTCCGGCTCATCAATCTCAGAAAAAAGAGCTACATGAAATAATATGAACGTCAACAATGGTGATCATATGCATTCATAGTATACAACAAACCGAGAAAGTTAGTTACGATACCCCTACTAGCAGAACGGGTACCGGTGGGTTTCTGACCACGGTTGGTACGCCTGCTGGGCTTTTCAAGTGCGTAGGGGGATTCAAATTTCTTGGGAACGGTCCGCTTCCGCTTACCGGACATAACTTCCTCATTCTTATCAACTGTTGCACCCTTTTTTCCGTTCGCCTTAGCCATTAACTTGCTGACAGAAGATGGACAAATGTCTATGTCCGATGAAGGTGCTTGTGTAGAATTACCAACGACCCAAGGGTTTTCGGGTGTAGCGCCACATTCATCATTACGCTTAATAGGTGCAGCTTCCTTGTGTCCATTCATCTTTGCCGGGGTTTTCTGTTTGGCAAACAATATGGTGTGAACATTTCAGAACATATAAAAATGGAAGGAGAAAATTATAGACAGAAATATATATACATAGTACCTCAAGTACGGATTTATCGTTGGGAACCACTTCATCAGGCTGCGTCATGTCAATGACAGGCTCTCCGTGTGAGTCTATGTCATCCTTGTAAACGAATTCCTTCTTTTCATATGGACCGTTCTCGAACGAATCCACTTCTTGATCCACATCATTGTCCACGGATGGCACGGCAGCAGCCGGCTTGTACATGACACCTGATTTGTTCATCTTCTCCAACAACCTCTGCAATAGATATATAAAGTTAAGAATGCTTGCATGGTTTAAAACAGGGAACAAACTGTAAACTATTATGTTATGGTGTGACACCTCAGCAACTTGATCAGGGATTTGCCTCATCTGGGTGTGTATGAAGTCCATGCACCGCTTCATTAGAAGCTCCATCAAATCTTCCGACATTGGGGCTGTCGTCGACTTCTTTGCGTTTCCATTTGCAGGTTTGGTTTTTGGCTTCATGGTAGGCACATTATATGGGATTTTGGGCTCCTGCGCCCTAAACTCTTGGGTGATATTATTTTCGATCTGCATGCGATATACAAGTACATGTGATGAATTAAAAATAAATATTATTTAGTTACAAAACATTTAAGAAAGATAGAACAGAATGACTTACCTTGACGTTACCACGGCCGCGCCCATTGTCATAGTCGAACCGATCTCTCCTAGTGGTTGCACCTTCGGTCCAGTTCCTCATAAGAGGTTGTATGGACAAGTTGGGATTATAGGCGCAATCGCCTTCGACAGGTTGCACCTTCTCCCGGTACAAGTACTACAAAAAAAATTAGGATTTAAAGTTAGTTCAATACGGCACATAAAATTGCAATGATATTATAATTGACATTATTCAACAGGCCTCATTTGTGTACCTGCAACAGAGCCAAATTGCCTTTTGGCCATTGGCGTAGGTGTTTGCCTTTCTTCACTATGCGAAGGCAATTGAGTAGAACACGCAGGATGAAGACATTCCAGTTAATCTTTGAAATACGTTTCACATCATGGACCAAAGCGTAGTACTGCTTTGGCACAATCTTGCTCGACATGGGAGCAATAATTGTTCCTAACAGGACAAGGACTAATTTCCGAAGAAAATCATCGTCGGTGGCTTTACTTTTAATTATGTCCTCAATGAGATTATCTATCACTATGTTTTCTGATGTCTTACTGAGAAATTGTGGTGGCACCCGCTCCTTCATGTCCTCTCCTTCTTCAATCAGAATGTCTGAAGCGGAGAGTCCTTGGTTCTCGAGGTTAAAGATGCACTCAACGTCGACCACACCGAGAGTCACCTCCCCAACCTGATCTTGTATAATGAATCTGGACTTGCTGGCATCAAAATTCTCAATCATATACCTAATCAGAAGGGTACACATCTTAATAGATGGTATCTGGAGCATGCTGCGTAATGTTGTATCAGCCACTCTAGCGCGTTGACCGCTCGATAGAGCGGCAACAAGCTTGCACCATTTTTCAACGGCGCACACTATTTCTCCATTCAGCTCGTCCATCCTATAGAAAGAAAATATAAAACTTCGTTACATTTGCCAACACAAATGCAAAAATAACAATAGACATGTAAAAATATAAAACTTTCTGGCATCAGCAAACAAAAATGCAAAAATAACACTAATGCAAATATAAAACTAGCACCATGTATACAGCAACATGCACCCAAGTGTGTGCTGATATGAGGCAATAAAAAATAACATTCTGTTTGCATAATTGTTTTTTTCGACAAGATCTTTAAAACAAGACTAATATTGAATATATTTTTGAAAGTTAGTTTTTAGACAACTAAATAACCATGCTTCAATCTTGTTTTGTATAATTGTTTTAGTTCCATGCATTTTTTTAATAATTTTGCATTCTATTTCGTAAAGAAAAAAATCTAACTAACACTATGGCTCGTCGTGTTACATTGTGTATCATAATGTTACATTGGCTGCCGATTCTTCTTAATTTTACAGTGTTTCATCATGATTCAGAACATGAATCTTCAAACTTGTTAAAATATATTCAAAAGTGGTCTCGTATTAAAGTTCTCGTTGTCATAAACACATATATACATCGGATCTTCAAGAAAAATCAACGGCTCTTCCATGCACGGTACCTCCCGAGCATGGGAGATTTGCTTTTCTCTATTCTACCCTGATATGAAAGATTTATTTCATGTACGCCTTCTGGTCAGAACACAGCTAGTCGAGTTGATACTAGCTACTTGAAACTATGTGGTAAACCCAAGTCCATGAGAGCAACAAGACGATAGAACTAGCTTGCTTTGAAGGCACGAGGTAAGGAGGACAACTTACTTGATCGGTCGACGAAGATGAAAGAAGTCGGCGATGCGTTGTCGACGTAGTTCGTCGACGGCGGCCAGCACGTGGGGACGACCTTGATCTTCTCAGGGTTTTTGTGGCGTGTGGGATGCGGCGGACGGAGCTGTCGACGACTCGCCGGCAGGAGGCAATCTAGACGACGACATTTGCGAGGAGGTTGAGATTATATATGAGGTCGTCTCCTAGGTCGTCGTAACTTCCCTGTGGCCAATCTCGCGATCTATATTTTCCTCCGTTGAATCGAGGCTAAACGTGCTCCTCAATTGTAGGGATTAGGAACATAAGGATTAGCACGAACCCGGAATTGTGTAACCGAACGACAACTACTCCCCTGATCGACGTGCATGTGATCGACGTGCATGGAAAGCGCAGCATGGTGGGCCCCCACAATATGGATCGGACAGTTATTTGCGGTCTGGGCCGGCCCACCTACCTCTACATTGTTTTTTCCTCAAAATTAATATCATTGTTTCTTCCCTCAATAAAAAATATTTGTGACACCTATTAGTTATTGTATACTTGTATATGTTCAACAATATTTATAGTATCTCTATCAGTTCTGCAATATTATATATTCAAATGTATCTCTATCAGTGTGCACAAATTCGGACACAAAAAGCACGTTGCATCATGTGGGGGCAGTGTTGTAGGGTTTTGTCGCCGGATAAACCCTACAAAATGGTTCGAGTGTCGAAAATGAACGATACTTGTCATGCATGCATGCCATGATCATCCTTGGGTATGCATAAAGTTTGGGATCATTCGGTGGGACCGGGAAGGTAAACCACTTTCAGACCTGTCCTCCGGCAGACCCGAATGGTCCTGCTTGTACATGGTGCATGTGGAGGCATGCATGAGATGACCCCAACTATTGGGACCATGTGGGCATGGCCAATGTGGTCCCCCCGGCAAGGTGTGCACAAATTCGGACACAAAACGCACG